CTATATGATTATTGGCAATGTTACTACTGAGGTATTTAAATCACAACTGGCATTCTGAAGGACTGAGACGCAAACATTGATTAGTAACAGTGACGTAACTGATACCGTGTTGACGATTTCCTTGTTCTGATTATGTTCTTTTTTACTCCATGAAACCACACATTATTTTCTCCATGATTTTAATATGGGTAGTTTACGAAATACCGATATCATGTTAATACTATTATCATCAACATACCAAATAATCATATGCGTGATTGCATTCTAAACAGAAGTTCAGTTAAAATAAACATATATATACTAATAGTGTTAAAAACTTTAGTACTGTTTGACTACGTCAAGCCTGTGTGAGGGAATCATATATTTTTCCTTCGTTCAGTTTAAATAACTGAAAGATTTTATGATCCCATCATCCATCTAAAATATTAAGGTATCCTAAATGTGGTGACTATTTGAATTTTTCATTGTGGTGAATCTTGAGCAGTTTTCTTCTAGAAGCTAAATATAGTCGATTAAAAAGAGAGACGACACAAAAGAATAATGGCTATTTCAATTAGTCTTAAGTTTTAATTTTATCAGGAGTTTTATTTATTTGAATGAACCTAAACTTGATGATCGCTGTTTTTGTAATATGGCAATAGATAATTAATGTGTAGCAATAAGTTTTAACCTAAAAAAGAATACTGAAATATTGTCTAAGGTTCATTTGATATTTTTATTTTTATTCTAATATGATTTTCCAAAATGCTGTTCTAGTTTAGACACTACTTCTGTTTTTTTTCCATTGTGAGGTCGTATCGATTTGTTTGCAATCAATGTACAAAGTCCATAAGCCTGATTCACTCTGAATATTGTACAGTTATAGTGAAAACTGTATTTAATGATATTCTTATTAGAATGAGTATTTGTTGGAAGTATCTCATTCATTCCGTTAACGAAAAATAGTTGCCCCTACTATTTTAGACATTAAAAATACAATTAACATTTAAACTACTAATGAGTAGTTCGATGTAAATTGACAAATATTAGGTGGCAATTGTACTGGAGCTGGAGTTGTAATTTGATAGTACCACTAACGCGACGACAGATATTAAAGATCACATCATATTAAAGTTCCCTTGATTATATATATATATATATAGAGAGAGAGGGAGAGAGACAGACAGAGAGAGTATTTAAGACATTTAACTTGGTCAGTTCCACTCTGTAAATCATAAGATCTTCAAAAATAACCCTAAATGTATTGATGACTATATGCAAGCATATCTACCGCGCATCTCATGTAGTGAAAAATTAAATTCGATTCTTTTTGAATTTTGCAAAAATATACTGAAGTAGATTCCTTGATCCTGATCAGCTCATCCCTATATTACACTTTTATCCATTAATCTTATTGAAAAATTTCAATGAATACTCAATCTATTTCAAATTACTTAATTAACAACGGTATTAAGGAATTGCTCAAAATCCGTGACTATTTTAATAGCTTTGTTTTTTTGAATTGCTGAAAGACCAAAATCGTTGTCTTTCGAAATACGCTCAAATAAATTTCATACAAACTCAAATAATGTAAATATTAACTCTTAAAAGCAAAGAAACGTTCTCCTAACTAGCTATCGACATTACATAACGTAAGACGAAATAATCTGTAATGGTTAATTATTCAAAAATAATGAATAGTCTAAACATAGATAATTGAAAAATATTGGTACCGACAAGACATAAAGAGATCAATAGAATTATAGTGCAGGTAGGAAAGTTTAGGGTACTTCTCTGAAATTATTCTTATACTTCGCATGTTAATCAACCTGACAACAATTATTACTATTTTTGATAGTGCATAATTTCTAGAAACTGGGATGATACAGGACACAATTTTATCACACAGCTCAGATTCATTGACAAGTACACGACTCCTACGATTAATAAATTTATGTAGACGATTCATTCCAAACTCACTGATATATTGTAACAACTGACTGACACATAACGAGGACATTCTTGTACTAACCACTTGTTGATCGATGCCATGCAAGCATTTTAGAATACTTAGCTGGTACTGAAGGAGGAGAGCTTTCTGGTGCGAAGAAATACAATAATACTATTCACTTGTCATAAATTAGTACAGAAAGGCTTAACTAGTTTGAACGTATACAAACCTGTTTATCGGTAAAGGTACCACTTTATGATGAAAACTGATGGACTATCAAGTAGTCTTTCTCTACTCCACTGATTATTTATTTGGTACAAAATCGATATTTAGCCAATTTACTTCAATTCCTACTAAGTATACAAGTTTTTTAATGGTGGTATAGAAGTGTAATATGCGCACTAACAGATGTCCAGTTATCTTATTGAGGTCGTTTCAATTTTACCCTTTTCCCAGGCTTTTAGGATATGAATCGAAATTAACCAAGTCAATATATTCAGTCTCGTAGAAGTTTTTGTATTATTCTCAATCGCCTAGAAAATCGCCCTCAAATGTCCTGGTACGGCCGAAAGTAGAGAGTCCGCTCTCCAAGGGAAGTTCTCTCCACTGACTTCTCGTGGTGAAAATGTTGTTTACTGAAGTGAGAAGACTAAAAGAGAATATCCGGGGCTTAAAGCGGGTTGGTGGTTACGAAGGACACAGCTAGTGGAGTTAGAAAATCCTGATTCCAAGACATTTGTGCGCATAGGCTCCAGGATCCTGTGGGAAAAAATTTATGAACCCATTTTTTTGTCACCGGCTACCATGGAATCGCATCACCTGACGCAGCTATATGGATTAGACCTCTAGGTCAAAGGTTGAGAGGGTAGCTCTTTAAAGATCCTACCTATTTCGGTTTGGGCAACAGGAGAGTGCCCTACCCCACTCACAAATCAAATGATCATCAAACTGGAAAATTTACTTTCGCTTCAGTTCGCATCCTCACAACTTGTGTCTACAATTATTCATTAACGCTCACATTGACTTTATTCTGTATCACTTGCCTATTCCCACTTTGGGCATCCCTTTATTTCTCAACCCAAACAACGGCTCACTAGTGGTGGAAATTCTGTTCGATCTAAACGATCTCAAGTCACTAAATGGTTGAAAGTTGAGTTCTACTGCTGAATATGAATTCTGAACCAGCTTTTCTATAACTACGTGCCGTTCTAGCTGGTTTCCTTCAGTGTCCGCACACTAACGCAAATGGGACAATAGATAGGGTTGACCATTTCTTTCAAGTCTTAACATCGACGTCTGTTGTCTATTCTAAATCCACACTCAAGAATTTAGTAAAAAACTGAAAATTCGCTCCCCATCCTTCGCTTCGAAAAGTTTATTCCGCGTGCATTCATCCGAGGACCTTGTGGCATCATCTTGTTTTGACGGTGTTGGTGCCGCACTAGGGTTGAGGCGACGTGTATCGACTGGGGTCCTCATTAACAGTCAACCAAAAAATACCACCAACGCGAGAAATCGGTGCGAGGAGCAATGTCTATTCGTAATATCTGACTACACCCCGACAGATTGTAACCCGGATACAATGAAGGACGAGTCTTACCATCAGTTAGGCGATCTCAAGAAAGTGTGTTTGGTGGATATCGTAGTACTAGAGGGAGAATGGCGCATGTCTGGCGTCTAGGCACAGAAGAGAGTCACTTGAGCGGCTTTTGGAGGCATTTGGTTTCAGGTCAGATAACTGTGACCGTCTACTGTAACTTCGCGTACTACAACCTGTTTCTGGTTACCACTAACTGTCGGCATACTCATCGCCAATGCGGAAATAGGTTATGGTAGTGTGGACCTAGTACCTGAGGAAATACTTCGACCGCGAATATGCAGATGATATTGTCTTGCTGTGCGATGATACCCAAGTCATACAATCCGCATTTAATCAATTGGCAATCAGTGTCCCTAAGCACGATATTTGTTTTGAATTTCCCAAGTCCAAAGTACTTTTACAAGACTTGTAGGACCGTAAACCTGCACCTACTCTTCGTAGTGAGCAGATAAGGTAGTCGAAAAATTCGTGTACCTCATTTTCTTATAGTGTAGTGCATATATTTTGACGGCCCTTAATACCAACATGTATTTAAATGAATAATTTTCAATTATCATTCTATTAGTAATTTGTTGTTTCTTTAAACAATCGACTATTGCTAAAACCCAACAGAATGTCTTAATAGAAAAGTCTAAACAATCTATACGTTATATAGCATATTTAATCTTTTATTCATTGATAATGTAGCCAAAACAAATTAACTTGAAAGAGGAGAGTCTCTAATAGTAGTTGAATTGGTTGCAATTATGAAATCACAACCAACGTACCCGCATGAAATGCTAAATTTCTTTGAAAAGCTGATAAGAGAGCATATCTATATGTTAAGTTTTGCCATTAATTGATATTTAGCCTTCGAAAGCTTTTCTTACTGATGTCACCTTGATGTCTTCTGAGATGCACCGAGTGAACTTCTTGGAAATAAATTATTAAGAAGAGAACATACTTCATCTCGCATACTCACTCAGTATCACATCTCCTACTCAAAAGTACGGTCAGGAAGTTTCAGAAAATCGCCCGAGTCATTTTCAATGAATTTTGAAGTGCTCGTTTCGGACACCACCAATTCTAAAACGACATATATTGGAAACGCGCTAGACGACTGAAAAGCTCCCTAAAATTTAACAGATCCAATATTTTTTATAGTTATCGAGTTTTTGGGTTGGTAGTCTCCAAATATTTAACTGTCAAAATATACAGCATCAAAGGGACAGACTTAAGGACTATCCTATCGTGTTAAGAGTCTTTCTAATCCTTCACGTTATTATTTGAAAGTCAAATCGTCTTCCTTAGGCTTAAGCTCCAAGTTTGGCCAAAGAGCTTGACAGTATGCATAATTATCTCACAAAAACCACATTATTCATCTGCAGCGTTTCACTTATTGAGTTTATTTTGATATCGCGATGTCTGTGAAACAAAATAAATTTAAGGGACAAGGGAATCTAACCACTGATGCTATCAATTAGACAAAAATACAACGTGGGAGATTGTATTTGATAACGTAATTTAAAACATATACATAGGCGAAGATCAGATATCACCTAAAATAATTATGAAGGGAATAAGTCACGACAGAAACAATGGAAAAGATATGGAACGAGAGCTCAAAAAGCCTCGTCCCCTTCATATTTGCAATATAATACAAAAGCATGTGATTTCATCTGGTTCCATTAATGAACAGAAATACAAATCATAAACCTCCACGCAACGAAAGTACTAAATGTATTACTGAACCACCTTGCATTTTGTATTCCTGGACAAGTTTCTCATCATTCATTTGTTTACCGGAAAAAATCAATCGTTGTTGTTGTGGTGGTATGCCTTCTTTTTCTTCAATTCTTTCTTTGATTCGTTCAACTTTGTCAGTTTGTTCAATATCGATTTCAATTTCTTTGCCAGTTAACGTTTTCACTTTAATCAGCATACTGTAATATTGAAAAAAAACTTTAGGCACTAATACACAAATACAATAAGTTTTTCAGACCTGGGAGAAGCTATAAATACTATAGAAATTTCAATAGTTGAAATCATGAATCAATTGAAGCTAGACCACCATGGAAAACCTGGAGGCACTGGACGGCCATTTCGTCCTAGTGTGGGACTCCTCAGTACTGCGCATCCACGATCCCGCCTTCCGAGACATTCGAACCCAGGACCTACCAGTCTCGCGCGCGAGCGCCTAAACATTAGACCACTGAGCCGGCATCTAACGATGTTAATGTTTAACTTGAACCAATCCACGAAGTTGCGCCATCGTACACACAACTAGATAAATAATCCGACACTCAACTATAGGATGATGGTCACTGGCTCCTAATACAATTTGGGCTTTGTAACATTTCGGACGAACTAGATACATACCTTCCAGAGACTCCATTGAAGCTGTGAATAGGTTACTGGTGCTAACTAAGTACTATTATTGTTTATTTCACGTTAGGGTGTCGAAAACAGAGTCGGTTTCCCGAAAATTACTTATTTGCCATTCGGAAAAAAACCACAGCATGAGACAGGCAAATATCAAAAAATTCCAAGCCGATACAACCCCCCGACTTTAAGGCTTTCCAGTCACATGAAAATCGGTAGTTTCCCTTTGAGTCTGGAGAAAAAAACAACAAATTTTGAGGGGTTTTCCTCCAAAATAACCTCAAATTTTAAGGAAAGACTCCGGACAATGAGGTTTTGTGTGCTGGTAAACATTGGCAGGAACTTCCCTAAGATCAGTAGATGAGATATAGAGATCTGGGAATATGGGCTGATAAAATGACGTGACCGTTGTATGTCATCTATTGAACTCTGGAATCAGCAAGTTTAGTTGGAAGATAAAGTTAAACATTTGTACTATTAAACATATTGCCAGAAAGCAATTGAATAGATAAATGGTAGAATAAAGCACACTTCATTTCATGTAACTTCACGAGAAATTAGGACTTTTCGACTTTACCTAACACACTGCCGATGACTGTGACGTACCACTTCAACAAACGCGCTCGACAGTCACTATATCCAATACCAATCATGAATAGATAAGCAACCTGTCATGAGTCCATTCAATTTTTCAATTTTCATTACATTAAATGTTCCAAGTTTCAGCATTTCTCAACACTTCTAATAGAATTTAGGTTAGTCAGACCAATCTTTCTTCTTCTAGTCTTTTTTAAAAATAATCACCGACAGAATCTTTCTTCGTATCTTTGTTTGCGGTATCTTAAGTGGTTCTCACATCTGTAGAGGTTCGTTTCTATACATAAATCAGTCCTCATAAGTAAGTATTAGAGGTTGTTTCAGTTTCAGCTTGAGAAGGACAGGAGGCCTGATGGCCTGTGTTAGTCCTGAAAATGTTGGTCTCTCAGTTGATTCAACTTTATTTTGAAAGAGTCGACGGATGGAGCCTCAATAACGTGCTGAGGTGATCAATTCCACTCGTTGATGATTCGATGAGAAATTCCATAGTTAACTGACAAGTAATTTGTCCTGGGCTTGTGAACTTTTTTGGAGTGTCCTCGTAAATTCTCTGTTTTGGAAGACAAGAAAAATGAGGGCATATCAGGTGCAAATTTATCACTAAGCAATTTGAAAACTGTAATCAAGTCGCCACTAGTTCTACGATAAGACAACAGGAATAGAATTGGCTTGGCCAGTCAGGCATCATACAGGAGCTTCGTTATTCCGGAAATCAGCTTAGTTGCCGTTCTCTGAACCTTTTCCAGAAGCTCACTGTCTTTTTTAGGCAGGGGCTAGCCGCTTGTATGCAGTACTCAAGTTTAGGACGAATGAACATTGTATACAAAGTCAAAAACGTTTTAGCATCGACATGACTAAAAGCCCTACGTGTTGACCATAAAGTTTTAAAACCTTTGGCGGCTATTGCACAGCAGTGTGCAGTAGTCTTTAAGTCTTGGCTAACGATAACTCCTAAGCCATTATATGTCTGGACGACAGGTAGCTCAGTGTTATCCATCGTGTATGTATCTGTGCCTTGATGACCGATATGCATCACAACACACTTGGAAGTATTTATCGGCAACTGCCAGGTTTGAGACCATTCAGATAACTTCTTCAGATCATTTTGAAGTTCTAAGCTATCACTCTTACATCGTATCGTTCTCCATATCTTGACATCGTCAGCATATAGCAAGACCGATGATGATAGGAGACGAGGAAGGTCATTTACATACAGGAGGAATAGCACTGGCCCCAAAACCATACCCTGGGGTGCTTCACTAAGCACAGTTACCCAGTTAGATAACTTTGAGTTCACCCGTACTCTTTGTTAACGCTCAACTAGGAAGTCTTTTATCCACATCAATAGATAGCATTCAATCCCGACATTTCTTAGCTTATATAACAGCCGGTTGTGCGGAACTTTATCAAAAGCTTTACTGAAATCAATGAAGGCGACGTCTACAGGTAGCTTTTGGGCCCTAGGAGCACACCAGCTTTCACGAGCCCCTAATAAGTTAGTGTGACAAGAATAACCTATTCTGAAGCCGTGCTGCTTCTCCGAGAGGATCCGGTTTTTATCGAGATACTTAAACAGCTCCTTCCGAATAATCTTTTCTAAGATTTTAACAACCACACTAGTTAGGCTAACGGAGCGGTAATTCTCAGGTTTGTGTTTCGTACCTGTTTTGAAGACAGGACTTACTATGGCGTTTTTCCAGTCTTTGGGTAAACGACATTGCGTTACGGATAGGTTAAAGCATATACTTAAAGGGTTCGAAACGAAGTTAGATTATTCCTTCAGAAGCCTAGGATGTAATTCATCGGGCCCCGTGGATTTACCTATGTCAAGCTTATTTAGCAGACCAAAGACATCGAGTTCTTTAATGGTCACGCTATCCAGTGTATGTATGGGGGATCTGTATACGCTGACGGGAAGGGCGCTTCTATGGTGTATACATTGCTAAAGTAGTTTGAGAACACTTGAGCCTTACCAAAGTCGTCCTCCACTAGTGACGCGGCAGTACTGTCTCCCCATAGAGCAGGAATATTTCCTCTTCTCTTTATCCTTTGGTTTATATAAGAATACAAGCGTTTAGGACATTCTGTGGAATCCTTAACAATCTTTTCTTCGTACAACTTTCTAGACTTACGGAAGGTCGATGTACGGGTATTCCGAGCTTTTTCATACTTAGATTTTGTCTCATCGGACCCCAGTAACCTAAATCTATCCCACATTTGTCTTCTCTTACGGAGAAGGATGCGGACCTCCCTACTGAACTATGGTGGGGAGTTTCTCGGTCCCCTTGGTATAGTCCAAGGGATGTGAGGCGTGGTAACTTTTAAGTATGAATTTCAAAATGCGTCACAGGCCGTTTCAACTGAAGACTCTGGGTCTATTGTCCAATCTACTAACGATGCTGAGTGCATGATGTCTGGTATGTTTGCCTTACAGACGTTGGGTCTGGACTGGACTGACGCGTGCTGATGACTGGCAGTTATATGGAAATCGAAAGTTAAAACTGCGTGATCACTTTTACCTAGGGGTGGCATATGATGGAGGTTCGCAACATCATCCTCATAGTGAATCAGTATAAGATCTAATAAGGATGATTCAGTGTCCGGATCGTACCTTGTCGCTTCTTTCACATGTTGCACTAGAGCACATGTGATAACCCCATCAACTAGTTCCTGCTCGAAAGAATTCTCCGACGATTTAGTTTGCAGATTTTCCCAGTCTACCATAGGTGCATTAAAGTCCCCTAGCATTAGACATCGACCACTTTGTGACCAAGTATTGAGACGGCTTAACAAGACTTCATTTACCTCACCGCTTGGACTGCGATAGACCAAGCCAATCAGCAGCTCTTGTCCCTTGCATTTCAAGCGGAGACTAACTAATTCACACGTCCCACTCTCATGGGATACACTGTCGATGATGACAAATGGGATAGCATTCCTAATGAATAGAGCTACTCCCCCTCTAAGCTTTTGTATTCTGTCGGCCCTTACTAACGTAAAGCCCTCGAAATCAAGTTCCATACTATCTACAGCCTGTGTCAGCCACGTTTCTGTAACCGCGTTTATGTCTGGCCTTGTAGAGTCGATCTGTACACCTAGTTCCGAACGCTTATTAAGTAAGCTCCGGGCATTAGTGTAGCAGATCCGAAGCCTATTTAAGTGGATTCGTGCTTCACCCATAGTGACTTCGGCATCATTCTCTGTCGAAGCCTTACAACCTGAAAATTTACAATTTTTAGGTCCTTTTCGCCAGCGTCTAACCTATGTTGTAGTTCTTTTTCGGCTTCCCGTCTTTTAACACGGTCTGCCAACGGTAAGTCCTTTCGTATAAAGACACCTGAACCCTTTAATTCTTGTTCATTTTGTAAACTTAGGTCACGTTCGTTCCAAGAATTGAATACTACTTTAAGCAGTCTGGAATGGTTTGGCTTCAAGTCCACTAGACTCCCTAGTCTGTACACCTTTAGCAAGGTGACTACGGTGATATTTTGAGGCATGAGTTGATTAAACAGCTGATTAATCAGCACAATGCCATGCTCAAAACTAGCTTAAGGTTCAGAGCTCTCACTTACCTTGATTCTATGAAAAATAGCTGATCTGTCGCTATGATCAGCTTTCGATTTTACGACTACTTTCGCTGGGGTAGGATTACCTTTTATATCGCTACATTTTTTCTTCCTTACAACTTTTACTCATTCGTCAACGGTGCTGGTAGAAGCAATAACAGTTGCGTCAAACCTAGTGTTGGGTTTTGGGGGGTTGTCGACGACCTGAGGGGTCGTGTTATGTTTACCATTTGAAACCGATCGAGCCTTGCGATTGCGGCTCCTAGGTGTTTCCTGTTGGATCCCATCTGGGAGACGGGGAACAGAAGAACCTCCTTTTCTTGAGCTTTTGTTTAAGGCAGGCCCCTTTGGAGACTGCTTTTCCTTCTTTGACCGGCGTGAGTCATCTACTATCGAACTAACCTTGGTTTGCTTGATGTCGATTTGTGTGTCGACAAATCGAGTGCTGTTTGACGTGTTCCAACTACACTTGTTAACACACTTCTTTGCAGCATCAACCAGTGAGATGGCCTCGGTTAACAGGCTGTTTGCATCCGAACAGCACTGTTGACAAAGCCATACACAACCCTTTTTACTGAACCGTTTGAAAGCCGCAGGTGTCAAGTTCGTACAAACTTTGTGGTACCAGCCTTTGCACTCGTCGCACTGAATGTCGCTTTCAACGGGATAACGACAACCCGGATGTTGGAAACTGCTTTTTTTACACTGTCCGGTCATTTAAAAGGATTCCTTTTTATCAAAAAAAGAACAAAATGCGATGATACTCAGAAACAAAAAAATAGTCAATGGCCAAAAAGTGAAGAACTGTAGATTGTTAGGACCAAAAAGTACTAACAGGTACAATTGAAAATGAGGTACTCAAGAGTACCAACGACAAAACTAATTGAGAACGGTGAAAAAACGGTACTCTAGTCGAATAGTTTGACTGAAATGAATTCAACTAAAGTGAAAACAGTAGTCTTGATGCGTAATAAACAATCAAAACAATGAAATTTACTCAGCGAGGAAAGATACCACTGTCCTTTTTAAATAGCGCGCGTACAGTGTTTAGGAAAAACACAAAGTGAAGGGTGGTGAAGATGTCACAAGTATTCAGTCTTTGACAACACTTTAACCAGTAACACCTTCTAATATAACTCGTTCCCACCAAGAGAAATCAAAAGACAGAATCTAGGAGATTGGGAGATATATTTGATGACTATCAATAGATCGAGAATCGTTCGATCTAATCTGGCTAGCGATTGCAGGGGATGCTGAGCACGGCGTTCCCACTGGTGATCCGGTGCGGATGCATGACCGAGCGCCTTCAGCTAGGTGAGTCCATCAAAACATGTGGTCAGCATCCAATGTCGAAAACTTACAGAGCTATTTATTTTGAGGATTTATTTACCGCTACAGTGGTACACTTTGATCGAAGTATTTCAGTGTGCCAGCATGAAATCGTTTAATGTAAAGTCACATTACATTCGGATAAG